CTTTCCCCGCATCAACTCTCTGGTTAAATGCCGTTATTTGCCATAAATTTAGTATTTCAATGAGTACCAGTTTTAAAAATTTTAACCTCATGGCTTTCTTTACTTCTTCCGTTAAACGCATTCATACTTTTGGGCTCGGATACTGTGTGGTTAGTGATTAGCGATCATATTTGATTTTACTATTAATAACTCAAAGATACATCAAACTTATTTGCAACTTACGCGTGTATATTGCAGAAAATTATATCGCAGTGATGGCTCAGGGAATCATTCGCAATTTCGGTTGTTCACAAAAAAACCTTAGAAGTAATAAAGACACAAGAATTTAGTTTAATTTACTTACACTCTGTCAAGAAAGTTTCGGGAATTCTTCAATTCCTCAATTCCCCCTCTCATCTTCCTCTTATATGGAGTACTTGAATATTCTTCAAGTTCTAAAAGGAAGAAGAATCTAACAAACATAGCATTTTTGTACAGAGGACTAGAGTAAAATAAATTATGAACGTACAACCTCGGCCAATATCTTTTCGGGAATTTGGGAAGTTTTATGTGGCACAATTTCACATGACTAATTGAACGAGAATTCGGCTGCACCGACTACGAGTGCAGCCTTCGCCTAGGCTTTTTTAGATCAGAAACAATTGATTTATCAAAAAAGTTAATGTAAGGAAAATTGTCGTAAAGCAAAAGTCTCAACAAAGTGCCACATTTCATTGCAAGTAATGGGGATATTTGCATTTCACAAAATGGTATCGATCACAACAAAGAGTCGCAAATCAAAGCGCAATTAAGAGGCAATGAGCCAGCAAGGCTACATCGACGATAGTGTGAACTTGAAATTGCTCACACGTGTTCGGACTGCACTGACATGCAGCATGGTGGCGCGTAAATCATTTTTAACCTTAGTAATTTTTTTTCAATTCACATTTTTTAAACCAAAATAAAAAATTGGTAGGTGAAAAATAAATATAGAAGTGCGTATAATTGCCGACATTTCATATGAACAATTATGCAATAAATAATTATCGAGCTGAGATGCAAATTTAATCAAAAACGACAACGAATAAGAGCTGAGAAAATATTTTGCGGTTCACAAGGGGCACGTCGCCAGCATATTAATCACTTATTTATGAACCCTTTCAGAATTTTACTCTTTTTATATCGTTCACCTATAAGGTAGGCTAATTTTGTTTAAATGACGCTACAGACCATTAGCACGATACGTGACAACCAACTAGAGAGCATGATAACGGAGGGGAATTGTATGTGAAAGAATCGTATAGACTTAATATATACAACTGTGAAAATTTAACTCCGCCAATTTTAGAGCTCATTGTGGTTTTAGAAATTTCTATCCGTTTTTATTGATCCACGTTTACATATTATCAAAATCCATATAGACAAGACCAATTGTATTTAACAAATTAACAATGTGGTGTATTAAACAAAACTGTTGATTTTAAGAATACAAAGGTAAATCATTTATATTAAATTTAATTCAGCTCTATCTTGCCTCACGTCGTACACTTCTTACTCGACTTGCTGATACTTCTCTTCTTCTTCTTCTTCTACCTTTTCTGTGCTGCCATATCGTTACATTCCCACAATATTAATAAATCATGTCGATTTAAGGGTCAGTAGGGTAATTTTTTCTCAAAAAACTTTTTTTTTTTTGCATTTTCTTTTCACTTGAAAATGCAAAGCTTCAAAAAGGCTCAAAAATAATAATACCGCTCGACGTTCGGAGCGCTCGGAGTGCACACTCGGAATAAATTGGGTTTTTGTGTTTCAGATGATCCAATCATGAGAAATCACATCTCATTCACCCAGCCATTTCTCCGACTGATGTCATCAGAAAATTCCGAAAAAAATTGTTTATACACCTAATGATATCTGAAAAAAGTTCTATTGTAGAATAAAAATTTCTATGAAAAAAAATGTCAAAAAACAAATATAGCTTAGCCAGAATACTCTACTGACACCTTAAACAATTTCTGTTTCATGCTTTGGCAGTGATATTACATTTTGACTTCTATTGCAGCGTATTAATCAAACCCAAAAGAGATAAATTTGGTAATTCTGCTGTATTTCTTTTCTGTATTATTCATTGCCATGCAGTGACATAATTTTCTATAAACAAGTTAAGAAAGCATAAGCACATAGCAACGTTGACAAAGTAGCATGAACAAGTTCCAACATTTCAATAGTTCTATCTGCTAATTAAACTTTGACTATATTAAGCATATCCAAGAATATTGATGGTCTTGTTTCCCATAAGACTCTAATGGAGAAAATAGTTTCCAGCTAGACACCAGTTGGACAAAAGTAATACATTATATATGTAAGAGGCTGATTCATTTCGAGGCTCCCTATTATTTAAAAAAAAAAAAACGAAGAAACTTCAAATTTGATGGGGAATCTTTATTATCGTTCAAAAGCGCATTCTTTGACAAGCACTTTTGAAGACTATTTCTTTCAAATGTTGCTCGCGGCTACGTTTCAGATGTTCCATCGAGCATTTCGACTGGTAAATGGCGAATGACACGTGTAATGTTTAGCTCAAAGGAATGAATCGAAACGGTATTGTGCTCATAGATTTGACACTTTACACATCCAAAACCCTAAAATAATCTGCTCACCAAAGTGTTCTCTCAATAAATCCATTGATTGATGCGATATGTACGAAGTGGAACTGTCTTGTTAAAGCCAAATGTCGCTAGGATCACGAGCTTCAATTTCAGGCATCAAATAGTCAGTTATCATGACGCTATAACGGTGGCCATTGCTTTTTACAGTCTCACCGGCATCATTTTTGAAGAAATATTAACCGATAGTTGAATTTTCTGAATGAAATTGAAGTTATTGAATCTATTCAGGTTGCTCATGGTCCCAAATGCGGCAATTTGTTTACATACCCTTGTAGCCAGAAAGCCTCATCGCCTCAACGCTGATAAAATTTGGCTCAAAAACATCACATCATCTTTGAACTTTTCAAAAGCCTATAGACTGAAGCAATGACGATTAGGAAGGTCGAGCGGCTTCAGTTCTTGCACAAGCTCTATTTTGTACGCTTTCAATTTAAGATCTCGATGTAAAATGCTCCAAGTCGTTCCATACGTCAGTCCAAGTTGCTGCGAACAGCACAGCTCTTCTTCATAGTCTTCATGTACACTCTTAGCTATGGCTGCTATATGTTTTTTACTGTGTGCTGGATGTGATCTACTAAGTCGAATATTATCCAATAATGAATGCTGGGTCTCCAGATGGATGATAATTTGGCGAATAGTTCGCTCAGTAGGTTAATTCTGTCTACCATAAATCGAGCGAAGCTCACGAAACACATTTTTACAGAACGTGAATTTTCCTAAAAAAAAAAAAAAGTGGAACGATTTGTAAACGATTTTCAGGCGTAAGTCTTTACATTATGAAATTCCAAACAATACTGGTCAAAAAAAGTATGACAGCTTGACACGACTCATACATGATCTGGCAAAAAAAGCCTCTTGAAAAAAGTACCACTACTTGAATCACCCTTTATATACATGGTCCTCAATTATATCTCAGCGTTGATGCATTGACCAGGCTGAAAAGTATCTATTGCATCTGGAATCGTCCTCCATGACATGATTTCAATGCTATTCGTTGTAGCTAAAGTTTTCATGAGGCTTTTATGGCATGAGAAACCAGCATTGACTTTTCCAAAAAAAAAACTTTTCGCAAAAGGCTGTACCGATATTTATTTCTTTTAAAATTGAAGAGTAAGTTTTTGGTTTTGCAAAATTGATACTTCGTATCAAAATACTACTCACAAGACTTAACGCAACATGGAAAAAAATGTCCATATCGAGAATGCTATATATTTGATAGCTTGTGCTACGAAAAAAGTTCAAAAATACATTATGACGCAAATACCACGAATAGCTTAAAATTTCTGCTAAAAAGACGGTTTTGATTAGCGCTCAGTAAAGTAACATAAGGATGACAGAGCATACGAAATGTCGTCTCAACTACATGATCTCAAGATGAGGTTATTGCAACGACAGCATATCAACAATTAATTAACTGTTTAGGAGAATTCGAGCTACTCTGTAACAATGCTTATTTTGCAAACAGATTCGTTAGTAGAAACGCGTGATCGGCATGAAGATCGCAAAATCCACTAGCTGCCATATCAATATAAGTCAAATGCAATGCAACCTGGCGCAGACACCCACCTGGTGACCTGTACTTAAATCCCAATGGACTCACATATATATAATACTTCATATAAGTATATACAATGTGATATTTTTTTTAAGTATATTCCCAATTGAGAGGTATGGGTCTCACTCCTTTTGTGTTGTGGGTTTTCCCTATCGTTGGCGATCAGATTTATGGTAGTCAGTGGTACCTTAAACTCTTCCAATTTACTTTAACCACCAACTCTGGTAGTGCTTCGATAATTCTAACGATTATGATGGAAAAGTGTCTGCTTCCGTTATTAAACGGTTCTATTGGTAGGGTTAGGGGAAATGCTCATTTAATATGCGCGTTGTGCGGTGTCACTAACCTGCGAGACACTTGCGTACTTGCGCAGTGGGACCATTGGCAGAAAGACTTGGCGGTCACGGCAACAGGTGTAACGTCTCAAGTGAATTCAAGAACTGCCAGTAACATAATATGTGTGCTCGTCCATGCACTTACAAATACTTCATATGTGTTTGCGCGCTTGTAGGTTCCCAGTTGTCGTTGTACATTTTAGATTAGTTTTAATAATTTTAGCTTTTCATTCACGGTACTTCCTTAAGCAGTTTTCATATTCTATTGAAAGTTGTTGTATTTTTGATTTTGTACTGCTTCCTCGGTGCTTTAGTTTGGTGTAACGAATGATCGCGTGAGTGTGTGCGTTGCGTGTGAATATATTTTCTTTATATTAGTATTTGATAAACTTTCATAAAAATATTGAATATTCAAATTAATGTTCGTTTTGCTTTTTTCCGCTGGTTTTCTTGTGCTTGCAGCTCTCTTTCTTATTGGTTTTATTAATTTGTAATCATAAACGCGCTACACGCAACTACCTTTACACCGTTTAACGGCACATCCGGCGGAAATTCGTTTTGGGCTATATTCATATTGGCGGCGAACGAAATGCATAGTGGAGCTGGCAAATACATACACAAACACCACTAGTGGGTGGAGCAACAAGTGCTCTGCGAAAATTTTGTACGCAACAAACGGCGAAGAGTTCGTGCTGCCCTTATTTGCGGAAGTCTGACAAAATGTCTGTGGGTAAGTTTATACGCAGCGATAAGCAAATATGATATATATATTTACAAAGTAGCAAATTCACAAATTTATTTGTTTTGAATTTTTTATAATCTGTTTAACTAGCGACTGTTGCCATATTCGTTGCTCGCCTTTAAGGTGTTTTCGCCCTAATAAACTTAGCAAATACCCAAAACACAGTTATTGTTTTGGTTCAATGTTTCTGTGGATTGTGTAGGAATTATTGACGAATTAGTTTTACGACCTTTTTATTGCTGTGTGGAACATATGTTTCGATCAGCGATTAGCCTTTGATTTGACAATGCAATAATATAACATTTTTTTGACAAGTATTAAAAATTTCATTACGAAACCATTTTAGGCTTAAGAAATAAAATATTAAGTGCTTCTAAAAACGGAAAACCGTTAATTATTGCCAAAACAACTGCCATTAAAGCAACAAGGGCATGTGTACAGTGTAGCTTATTTGCTCCATACTCGTCATTGATACTAAAGTGGCTTCTTATAAAAATATTTGCTTTATTAAAGTTCCCCAAAAGGATTTGGGCTTAGTTAAGCCAAATATGTTATAGGTCTGTTTAGCCTAGAGCATTTGGATAAAACCGTAGTAACAAGGAAATCATTTAATATTTCGTGGCGCCTCCTTTGTTTTTTATCACGGTTTTTATTCTTTCGGGCATGGACTCAACTAACGACTGTAAAATTTGTGCCGGTATACGGTTATACCAAATGTCTTCAATTATTGGGGCCCCCCCTGCCTGATGGTACGTTTGACACACTCATTACCGAAACGTTCTCTTCTGCGAACGTACGACATTCCGGCTGAACCGAAGAGGTTAATTATGAACTCATCTGAAAATACGACTTTTCTCCAATCTTCTTTGGTCCAGGTTTTGTGCAGTTTCGCTCATTGGAGGCGTTTTTGTCGCATTTTCACCGTCAATAGTAGTTTTTTGGCAGGTCGACAGGTTGGAGGCGCCGTCGTACTGTTCGCGTACTGATTTCGGTTCCATCTAGTTCCTGAATTTTGCTTCTGATGTCTTCAACTGCTTTAAATATGTGCTGAATATTAATCCGCTTAATATCGTAGTCATCCTTGGAAGTAGTCTTCCGGAACCTGTTTTGCGTTTTAAAAACTTAGTCTTCGCAATTTCTGTAGGAAAGCACCGACAGTAGTTTTCCTAAAATTTATTTTACCACTAATTTCACTTATACTCAAGTTTTGCGATAACAAAGTCAAAATTGTGGCTTTATCAACTTCAGTCAGTTTAGGACTTTTTCCACATTTCAATTTATTTGCAGCCATGTGTATACTCAGAAATATAAATAAAAGCGTTTTATTATAGCTTAATAATTTATTTACTAAAATATATACTTACTTGTATAATAAAGATTGATTTATGTACACCACATCGATTTAAAGTCATTACAACCGAGTGTCCCTTTTTTTTTTTGTACTACTGTACATTGACTTATTTTCAAGACATTTGTTGGCTAATCACGTGGAGTAAAGTCAGTCGGATGTTTGAAAAACCTGATGTTAGTTATAAGGGGTCTAGGTCAAGCTTTCGCACAATTTTATCTATTATCGGCACAAATCCACTGTTGTGAGTGAAACACATTCTGTAATTTTCTTTAAGATAACATAAATATCAAGCGATATATGCAGTATAAAGTCACCAGGAAGTTCGAAAATCTTTAAAATAGGTATATGGAGGCTAAGGAAAGGATTTATCTGATTCAATCCATTTTTTATACACAGAGCTACTACAGTCAGAAAAGGATTATCTGTATATATATAGGTACAGCAGTCCACACATTCGATACATATGGGCTTGAACAGTTTTGGTTTGATTTGAGCAATTTTTAGTTTTAAAGCACGGGGTTATCGTCCGATTTCATCTATTTTCACACTATCGGTAGGATTTCTTATAATATTTGTTTTGAGCAAGTTTGGTGTTTTTAGCTTTAGTTGTTTAAGAGATATGTACATTAAACTTAAGTCCACAGGTGCCTCTTGCTAATGCGCTCCCCTGTACTCTACTACAGATTTATATCTTAATTTAATGTTTAGTTATGGCACTTTATAGGTTCATAGCGATTTGTGTGCATGGCAGGGGTCCAATTACGCTTATTTACGAACTCGGCTGCACCGAAGCTAATATACCCTTTACAAGTGCATTTCTCTATGTGACTAGTTTGTATGGAAGCTATATGCTATAGTAATCCGATCTAAAAAAAATTCGGAGATTATATTATTATCTTAAGCAGTAATCCATGTCAAAATTCATAAAGATATATCGTTAAATGAGGAAGTGTCCCATGCAAGCATTTGATTCCGATCATTCAGTTTGTATGGCAGCTTTATGCTATAGTTACCCGATCTAATTTCTTCGGAGATTACATGGTTGCCTTAGAAAATAATTTATACCAAATTTCGTGAATATGTTGTCAAATGCAAAAGTTTTCCATACTCATCGTTCAGTTTGTATGACAGCTATATGCTATAGTAAGCCGATCTGAACAAATTCTTCGTATATTACATTACTATCTTAGAAAATAACCTGTTTCAACTTTTGTGAAGATACATTGTCAAAAGTGAAAGTTTTCCATATAAGAACTTGATTCCGAACGTTCAGTTTGTATAGCAGCTATAAGTTATAGTGGTCCGATATCGGCAGTTTCGACAAACGAGCAGCTTCTTGAAGAGAAAATGACGTTTGCAAAATTTTAAAACGATATATTAAAGACTGACGTACTAGTTCGTATATATACAGACAGACGGTCGGACGAACAGACGGGCATGGCTAAATATACTTGTAGAGTCTCCGACGCTTCCTTCTGGGTGTTACAAACTTCATGACAAACTTAATATACCCTCCTCAGGTTATAATATTTATAAATCAAATTCTCCTGCTACCATTACTAACAGAACCTTTATGTATATTTTATCCTCTAGGAACTTAAAGTTCTTATTACACTTTGTCTTAATCTAGGTTAGGTTAGGTTCAGAGGTCAATTTTAATAGGGATATTACTTGGACAGCTTAGAACACCACAAATTTCTTAAAGCGGCTTAAGCTTAAGCTGTAAGAAAATGACATTTAGTGCTATTGCTGAAGTAGTCCGCAATGTACAAGAGATACCGGTGAGTGCCACTCTTTAGACAATAAAACATTATTGGTTTGTCTACTGATTTTCTTCCCTATAGCTCCTCTACATCAATATAAGGCAACTGATGGCTACATTACTATCTCTTCAATATTCGGCTTCTATGACAGCTTTGCCTTAATCTCTAACTATGAAAACAGAAATATACTTATGTTTGATAATCTTTGCTTCAAATAGTGTCATTCTTTTTTATCCATAAATAAATCTTAGCAGACCCCTTTAGCATGCAGTCCTTCGCTTCGGATAAGGCAGCGTTGTAAGTGATACATAAAAATAAAAAGCGAAACAAATTAATAGATGACCTCAGTGTCAGCATAGAGTGACACTTCGTGCTGTGATATGGGAAAGTCGAGCAACAGTAAAATAAATTACTCACGTAAAATAAAGAGCGACAAAAGTCATTGAGTCTTACGCATACCCACTGCTACGTGAAATATTAAGTGCTGCAAATGATGAATTTGTTAAATAGAATTATTACATTACTTACGAGCTGTCCTTTGTATAGGCGCACATATACATATATATATATGCGCTGGAGTATATGTGAAATAAATGTGAATATAAATAAAATATAAAAGTCTAAGAATATCACTTGAGTAACAAATTATGTGCTTAAAGAACGCCAGCTGTGCTTCACACGCTTATGATCTATTAAGCGTAATGAGTGTGTAATGAAGGCCGTTTTCCCACATTTTTTCAGTCAGAAGTCTAGATGGGAAGCTCATTCAAGCGTATATGGATTTTGACAACCCTGCGTTGCGCTTCATTTACCAGCGACGCCGGCAATCGCGATCAATGGAAAACCACACCGCTATTAGCTCACAGACAGCGTTTGCAGTTTTGGATTTCGAAGAAATCCTGCGAGTTCCAAAAAGCAACTTATACCGAGTGGTTCATCTTCTGCTCTTTTGCTCTCTGGTTTCCTTTCATGTAATGTGGCTGCTTTGCCACACCCAAAGTCACACCCTATCTTTAACTGGGCTGTTCTTTACTAATCGGTATTCACGCATATATGAGCGTATATATAATATTTATACCTAAGACACTATTCATTTACCAGGAGCAGTACCACCCTTTCCACTAGCCCCTCGCAAGGATTCATCTCTAGTAGAGAAGATAAATTGTTTAACGTTCTGGGAAATTGCTAATGTTTTTGTTATTTTGAGCCCTCAACGGCTCCTTCACTTTGTCTCAGCCGAGCCTTTGCATTTGATGGACAGTGGAGAAGTCCACATAAGTACATACACATATGCAGTTGGTAGTAATGCTGACCTTTCACTAAGCATGCGATTGTGTGTGTTTGTGCATATCGTACTCATTTTATTTGGTGTCATATTCTGTTGCACTTGTTCCATGACCTCTGCAGTTTTCGGTTGTTGTGCACATAATGTTGCGGTTGCGGTTATGGTGGGTGGGCAAAACATGTCACGGGCATGTGAACTTTTCAACTTTTGTTGGTTGTCTGATTTCCTACTCAGTGTTTGTGAAAGATTAATGAGATTTTTTGATTAGTACAAACAACATTTGCCACTGACTTTTTTTACTTACAATATTATTGCATTCTAAGAGAATATTACAAATATATTTAAAATACCTTGTATGCTTTTTATACCCTTGCAATGTATTGTCATAGAGTACAATAGTTTTGTTCATCTAACGGTTCTTTGTAACGACTAAAACTAATCATGATAGATACAGGGTTATATATGCTATATATATAAAAGAAAGTTGTGTTAGTTAAACTATTTATAACTCAAGAACGGCTGAACCGATTTGGCTGAAAATTTTTGGGGAGGTAGCTTAGAACCAGGGGAAGGACATAGGATCTCTTTA